TAGAAGCTTCCCATTGTTTTCAACACCCACCAATAATAACTTTTTTAAAAAGTCTTAGCAAGCCATGAACAGGGTGGGATTTTTTGACTTCATGAAGTGTATCTACAAAAAGTTGCAGCCCACACCATACGTGACAGTGAAACACTGAAAATTTTCCTTAAGGTCAGAGCAAAACGAGGGTATCCGCACAACTGCTCCTAGTCAACCTTGTACTTTGACGGGGATGGCAAGACAAAAAGGCATGAAGATTAGAAAGAGACAAATTTGTCATTTGCAAAAGATAAAAATACACACTTAGAAAATGCAAAAAAAAATCTATAGATGAGCTGTTAGGTTAAAAAATAGTAAAATTACTGGCTTCAAAAATCAACTGAATTTCTATACTGCAGCAACAAACATAATGAAAAGATGGCTTTTACTATGACATCTAAAATACAAACATCTAGGAATAAATCTAACAAAAAATCCATGTGTAGAATCATATGGAACTCTTTCAGGATACATTAAAGACCTAAGTAAACTGAGGCAGAGCACCCGTTCAAGGAACAGGAAACTCAGTATCACACAAAACGTCAACTCTCCCCGACCTGCTCTGCAGAGTGAAAGAACATCCAATTATAAACCAAACTCGGTTTCTGTGGAACTTAAAAAGATAATTCTAGAAGTTGTAAAGGCACGTCAACCCCATCTCGCACCATATTCAAGTTAATCCAAGATGAGTAACAGACCTAAATATAAATGTTAAGACCATAAAGCTTCTAGAAAAAAACAGAAAACTACCTTCATAAGCTTGAGATTTCTTAGACAGGATGCCAAAACAGCTAAGCAAAAAGTAAATAAAGTGGATTTCATCAAAATTAAAAATTTCTCATCAAAAAACACCATGAAGAAATGAAAAGGCAAACCAGAGACTGCAAGGAAATGTTTATAATCCGTGTATCTGACAAAAGACATCCACCCAAACTGCATAAAAAACTCCGACAACTTGGCCAGGCACTGCAGCTCACACCTGTAGTCTCAGCACTTTGTGGGGGACCGAGGCGGAAGGATCCCTGAGGCCAGGAGTTCAACACCAGCCTGAGTAACACAGCAAGATCACACCTCTATCAAAAATTTTTAAATATTGGCCGGGTGTGGTGGTGCACACCTGTAGTCCCAGCTACTCAGGAGGCTGAGGCATGAGGATCACTTGAGCCCAGGAGTTGGAGGCTGCAGTGAGCTGTGATGACACCACGGCACTCCAGCCTGGGCAACAGAGTGAGACTCTGCCTCAAAAATAAAAATAAATAAATAAATAAAACTCCCACAACTCCACAAGAAAAAGACAGTACCCAATTAAAAAACTAGACTTGACCAGTGCTTTATGAAAATAAAGGAATAGCCAATAAGCGCATGAGAAAGTGCTCAACATCCCAGGTAAACACAGATTAAAACCCTAAGGAAAAACCATCCCACAGCCATTAGCGTGGCTAAAATGGAAAAAAACGAAACAAAAAACCCAGATAATACAGAACACTGCCCAAAACAGCTGGTAGGAGAGGAGGACCGTGCCACTGCTTCAGAACCTGGCAGTTTCGTACACAGGTGAACAAACACACACCTCCCCTGTGGCCAGTTCTTTCCAAAGAGCAGTGAAAAACATGTGTCCGCCGAAAGCCCTGTACGGGAGAGGTCAAGGCGGCTGCAAACACACTAACCCCAAACTGGGAAGAACCCAGATGTCTGTCGGCAGGAGCAGGTTAAAAAAGGTACAGTCTGTTCTCGTAAGGGAAGATCGTGCAATAATCAAATGAAAGAACTACTGACAATGCAACGCACCGGCGGGTCGCACACGCACTGCGCTGCACATTCTAGAACAGATGACGCTGACCGTGGTGGGGAGGGCGCAATCGCGGGACTGACCAGGGAGGTACCCGGGGAACCCAGGTGAGCCAAGGACCAGGATTTGTGGAGGTGAATATGCGAATGAGTGATAAGGACATGAAAAGGCCTCGCAGAATTTAAAAACGAATTAATAACCCTGAACGGGAAAAATAAATCAAGTGGGAGGTATGAAGTCCCCAGATGGCCAAGTCCCTGCTGGAGAGCAGGCAGGGGGCCTGCTCCATGGTGGGGCACCCAGGAGGAAGCTCTGGGAATCCCGGCAGCGAGGCACAGACAGAGGGGGCAGAGGGCGGGTGCTCACCCCTGCCATGTGGATACTGCCCGATGACCTGCCGCAGCGGCCCACGGAGGAGAAGAGCCACTGGGGACAGCGTGGGCCCACAGGCGCTGCAAGGAAAACCAGGTCGCTGGGCCTCCCTCACCTTACAGCCCAGTGTGCTGGCACAAAGCTCCCCTGAGACAGAGACCTCTCCCCACCACCCCCAGGAAGGAAGGAGAACTGAAACAAGAACAAGGCCAGAGCCAACGATCGATCGAGAGTGTGCACCAGGCTGACACCGCGAGTGCATCGGAAGACTGCGCAGAGAGCGCGAGAGAAGCTCGTCACTACAAGAGGGCATTCGCAACACACTTAGCCAAAAAAGGATCACAACCCCTAAAGAAACTGCTGAGACTCAAGCAGAAAGAAAAGGAAAAGTTGGCAAAAGAGAAATGAACAGGAATTTCACTGATGAGGAAGTACGAATGGCCTAAATTAGTAATCAGAGAAATTCAAATTAAAACCATAATGCCATTTCACAGCCACTGCACTGGCAAAAACTAAAAGTCAGGTAAGTTGGCAAAAACGTGGAGCAATGGGGACTCACATCCCCGCTGGTGGGGGCTGGAGCTGGCACAACCACTCTGGGAAGCTGCCCAGTAGTATGCTGTGCGCACACCCCACACCCCTGAATCCCTCTCCCCGTGGCACGAGCTCAAGGCGCGCCCTGCCCGAGTGCAGGGAGAGGCACGCGCAGAGGACAGGTACGGAACGTCTACAGCAGCACGTTCGTAACAGCCAGAAACTGGAAACGAGCCAAGGCCTCCCGACAGAAGCAGGGATGCACCAGGGACACCACGGAGCGGCGGACACGTCCACAGCCATCAGCACGGACGCGGCTCAGAAACTCAAAGACTGGGCAAAAGCAAGGAGTAGGAAAGATCACAGGGAGAACAGAACCTTTTACGTAAAGTCCCCAAATGAGCAAGCCCAAGTCACAGGGTGCATGCGCGGGTGGCACAGGCGGAAAGCAAGGCTGGAGAGGACAGGTACGGGGCAGGAGTCCGTAACAGACGCTGTACCTGCCCATGTTGACAGCTGCTCCCCGGCCCCGCGGCCGTCGGCTCCACACCACCATCCTCCTGCCTCACCCCTGCTCCGTCCAGCCCAGAGCCCCAGAACCCTCAGCACCCAGTGCTGCCCCGCCCCACAGCCTCCCCCTCAAGCCGTCTCCGCACAGACACAAGAGTGGGCTTTCCAGACCCTTCTAGAACAGAACCCAGCTCCACAGCAGGGCTGAGAAGGCCCCTAGCCCCTCCTGTCACATTTCCCCACCTCACTCGGGTCAATGACTTCTGTGCTCATTTGGGGAGCCCCAGGAGGCTTCTGAGGAGCTGCAGCAAGGGCAGGCCATGCTCCATGCTGATTGTCGGGGGCTGGGGGCAAGCACAGACTCGGGGACAGCTGACAGCCAGCACAAGGGTCTGGGCTGGGGGTGATGGCAGTAAGGAGCCAGGAGCGCAGTCAGGAGGGGCCGGGGGTCCAGCATGACCCATGGGTGTGAGGCCTGATGCAGGGGCGAGCGCCAAGACCAGGAAAGGAAGGGGGGCTGGGCCTGGGGAGATGCTCCCAAGTTGGGCCCCAGAGACTTCCCAGAAGAGATGCAAGTAGGCGAGTCTGGAGTCCCCGGCCCCAGACCTTGGGCAATGCTGACCTCGGGTTTCACGTGGACACCGAGTCCCCCGGAAGGCCCCCTCCAGGTGTGGGATTCATTCTGGTGCCCGTCCTTCCTTTCCACCCCACACAGCGCTGTGCTCCAGAGGGGGAGGCCCGCTGTCCAGCGCCCTCTGCACCCCAAGCACCTCATTCAGAAATACCTGTTGAAGGGGCCTCAGCAGAGCGTGAAGGCCCACCTGAAGCGGGCCTGCAGGGAAACAGCTCAACAGCAGCGAGCCCTCTGCTCCCTCCAGGGTCCCCTCAGTGGCCTAGCACCTCACTTCCTGCGCCTAGACGGCACTGCCCAGGTCCCTGTCGGGAGGGCCACCCGCCCTCACATCTCCCCAGGGAGAGCTCTCACTCTCACCTGCAGCCACCCCTCAGCCTGGCATCTATTCCAGAACCAGAACCTTGGGAGAGAGCGCCTCTCCCTCCTTAGCCTGGGAGCTCCCTGAGCACGAATCGAGTCGAGAAGAAATCACGAAAGTTTCAAGCTGAGCGGAATAAACGGGGAAGGTGCAAGTCCAAGGAGAGTCGGATGCCCACAGCTCTCACCAGCGCGTACACCTTGCCACAGGTGACGGGTGCTCCACCCCCAAACGGAGACCAGCGAGCCCTTGCAGTGGCAAAACTAACGGCAGGTCTCAAAGAGCAGAGCTGACTTAGGAGACGTCTCTAGGTGACCAGGGCAGCTCCGGCCCCTTCAGACGGGACGAATACACTCTGCAGTCGCGGCCCTAAGTCTGCCTGTCCCCGGGCACTGTGCGCCCGAGGGCCATTCCCGGGCCGCGGATTTGACAGCGCTGCCGGACGCGACAGGAAACCTGCGGTACCCGGACCAGAGGAAACAGCCCGGTGCGCTGAGCCGGCACCGCGGCAGGAGGCAGGTGTACAGGTGCACAGGCGGGGAGCGCACGGGAGCGCCTCGGGGCACGGCCCGGCTGAGCCGCGCCTCGTCCCCGAAAGCCCCGCGCAGCCCTCCCGGCGGGGCCCGGGGCCCGCAGGCCACGCTCGCGGGCAGCGGCGGGGGCTCGGCCCGCGGGGCGCGGGCGGCGGGGTCGGTTCGACTGCGGCCGCAGGCCCGCGCAGGCCCGGCCGCCCGGCAGGTGCGGCGGACAAAGCGCGGCGGGCGCGGCCGTACCTGGGCACGCAGCTGGGGCTGGAGCCGTCCACCTCCCAGGTGGCGAACAGGTTCATGGGCACCGGCGTGTTGAGCGCGCCGGGCGCGCCGGGGAGGCCGAGGCGGCCCCGCTCGGCCATGGCGCCGGCCCCGCCGCTCCCTCGGGGCCTGGGGCTGCGGCGGGCCGCGGACGCGCGGGGCGGG